TTGCCCTTTTTGAAGACTGGAGTGACGTTTAACTAGAGCAGACCTTTCCTACCTTTGTCTGTTGTCGAGAGAAAGAAATAACATGAAATTAGCCAAGACCTGCTGTGCTGCCCTGGGAATTCAGACAACAAGGCAATATAAAAGTGCACCCTTCAGAACAATCTTCAAAAAACCCTTCACAGATCTTCCTCTGCCAGACAAGGGGAGAGATCAAGTTTAAAGAGAGCTAAATCCCCACTGTTTCCCTCTTTCCTATACACATGCACAACACACACTCCAAAGGCATACACTTCTGTTTGTTTTGTGTGGTTTCCTCAGGCAGTGAATTATCTAGGACTGAGTCTGAGATTGGCTGGTTAGTTTCAGGCTTTATGATAAGCTTTTAATTATAGCACAGGAGTTTTATTACACATTACTCTGAGCCAGCTGGAAGCAGTTACACTTTAGTCCTCCACCCCCCGCCCCCCCGCCCCTCCTCACCACAGGACATCATTTCCAAGGCCTTACCCTTCTTGTCTTGATGATTATGGGATGAAACTGCCACATATGGATCTGTATTTTCAGATGAACCAAGCGGATCCTTCCAATTCAGCATGCGTCCCCTAGCATCATAACCCTGTCGAGTGCGAGAGTCGGAAGTGGTGGTGCTTGGGACTAGGGAACTGGAGTGTCCTGTTTACATTATAAATACAGGTAGGGAAGACAAGTCTCATTAGTCACTTACCACGCTACCTCACCATGCTCAGGAATGCACACACTGCTTTTTCTCCGTGGCACAGGAACATCTTGTCTTAGGCCAAGCAAAGTTTCAAAAGTCCTTCAAAGCATCAGCCCAAGAAAACGGGATTTGAACCCTCCAGACCAGTCAGGTGGAGGGTGTTAAGAGGTGTGTGAACATTGTGAGTTGCTGCTGAGCTCATGGTTGTGTGCTTTTACCCAACAGAGTTAAATGAGTGTGGAAGAGGGTTGAGCACACTTCACTTGACTCAAGCATCCTTTTGCTGGATTCAGTGAACACGCTTGACCGACACTGAAATGTCAGCCCACACTGTCTGGACTGCCTTAGTTAAAAAGCAATTTTAAAAACAATTTATAATGAAACAGTTTCTACTACGGCCGAAACTGAAGGGGAATGCCTGCAGAGATACAAAATGGTGACACCGGTGGCTCTCTGCCCCCAGGGGAATGAAGGACTGCCCAGCACCAGCGTGCTCACACTGGCACAGCACCCTCTGGATGGGAAATGTGTAGGTCCTGTCCACCGCTTGCACCTGCTTGCAGCCTTGCCATCAGTCCTGTCTGAGCTGATGGTACAAAATGGCTTCGAGATAAGCATGAAACTCCACATCATTTCTGCTCAAAGTGACAGTGAAGACAAGGCCTCACCACATGGATCTACCCAAGAATCCATGACTCCAGCAGCTGCTGCCACAGCTTCTTCCTAGGACAGATATCTTGCATGCCTTTTTTCCCTTACAACTACTCTAGGTGTTGTTACTGCTGTCATGAATAAGGCTGACAAGGTCCTCACCGATCAAACACACCTTAAAAAACAGCATGTTGACAGGACACGCCCCGTGGGCAACACCACGCAGTTTAACTGTGGTTTGGCTGGGGCAGAGATGTGTTTGTAGATCAGTATGTCCTTTTCAGCTAGATCCTCAGAAGTACATCAACACCAACAATGCTTGGAGTCTATGGTTTCTGAAAGATGGCTCCAACCTGGATGTCCCAGTGGCTTGGGCTGTGCTGCCACTGCTGAGGACAGGGCACCGGAACTCCATCCACACTGCAACATTTTGACCTTAAAAACACACTCATCGCCAAAAGGGAACTTTTGGCACATGCACCAAAATGAGTTATTGTCAGCAGGACTCAAGCAGCTCTGCGCCTGGTTAATTTGATGTAGAGTAACTATATTTCCTTTTACCTACTTTCCTGAAAGAGCCCATCAAAAGAGGGGTTTTTGAAACATACTCAAACACAAGCTAACAGAATCAGATTATTCACAGACAGAATAGCAGATAACGCTTTTTCTTCAGATACCACCAGACTGACTGACAGCAGCCCTCCCTTCTCCTGCCTCCTTTTTAACAGTGCTGCAAATTAATTTTCCTTCCTTAGATGTGAGTCTTCCTTGGAGAGATGTCCAATCACGAGGCTGCAGATTGTTCCAGCAAGGACCCTCTGCGCACTCTTTCACTTGATGTTGTTTCGCCACTCAGAAAAATAATTTGAGACTCATGGGGACAGAGACAGAGCAGCACAGGGAGCGCAAATTTAGAGCCTCACAGTGAAGGCACAGAGCTGGGCAGGTAGAGACTGTGCTTCTGTATGTTATTGTAAACAGTCACTGGACAAGCATAAAGCTTTCGGGAGCTGTATCTCAAAAAGGCTGCTTTAGATGGCTTCTAAAGTCATCCAGACCCAGGTCTCAGAAGCACAGAGAGAGCTGATAAACCTAAGTCCCCAATCTCACTCTAGCAATCAAAAATCTAAATGGTGGCCACCAGTGCTCCCAAGCTTTTTGATGCGCCCATGTGTTTCATTTTATCCAGCCCCCATGATGTTGAACTACTGATTAAGTCAGCAAAAAAGCTGCAGTTTCCATTAAGATGCTGCTATGATTTAAAGAAGTCCTGCTGAAACTTATAGAGGAAGAAAACGTCAGTACTCCTCCACATATTTTTGAGGAGCTCTTCTGATTTACTGCACAAGATTATATATGGCAGCAATTTGGACTGTGTTTTGCATAGGACATGGACACAACTAACTCCTGCAACTGGCTTAGCAGGGAAAATTGGTCAGATTCAGTGTGTTCTCACCACAGAGGCAACCTTCAGCTACTATAGCTAATCATTAACACAATTCAGCTCTGGACCCCAGGCTGAAGGCTTATACTGACAAGGGCATGGTATTATTTTTTTTGCCTCTCATGATAGGAACTGTGGTTTCCCCCAGCCATCTTTCTTTAACACGGCCAATTAGAGGCTGTTTTTGTTCAAGACAGAGCTTTTAATGTCGCTCACATAGAAAACAGAAGTCAAGCGTTATCCACTTCTAAAAAGTTTCCATAGACCATACTATGGCTGGGAGCATTGGAAACAGAGTTAGACAGATGACAGACTTCAATCCA